ATACACACAACCAACCTAAACAACAAAAACAAACAAACAAACAACAATTTTTCTTTTTTCATCGTTTAATTCCCTGAATTTTTCAGTTTAGGCTTCTGTTTTTTTTCTTTTTCATTTCTCTCCCTCTATTCCTAATTACTTCGCTTGCGCGTGTGCGGGAGGTTACGTTGCCTCACACTTTGTATGCCTCCCTGTTCCGTGCGTAGTGGTCCTCCAGTTCCTGTTGCGCCTTCTGCATCTCCGGTGTCATTTCCTTGTAGACGTCGTCGTGCATCGAAGACACCGGCCAATGGGGCAATTTCTCCTGCCTGCGCAGCTCGTGAAGAGTTTCCTTCCGCACCTGCTGCGTCAGACGCTGCGACTGTTCGGGGCTCCACAGCCCCTTTTTCACCATATAATTTTCAAACCGAGGAATTGGTGCAAAAACCTCTGTGAACTCCTCTGTTTCCTCCTGGGAACGGTAACTTGTGCTGTCATCCGAGGAAGAGTGGTGAGAGGCACGGTACGTCAAGGCCTCCACAAGAACAGGCTGGTTTGTCGTGCAAATGATCTCACGGGCCTCACGCACTGTGTGATATACCGCCAAAACGTCGTGTCCATCCACGCGGGCGGTGGGAATGCCGTAAGCTAGGCCCCGGGCAAAGATACCATCGCCAGCGTACTGTGAAGACGTCGGGGTGGAGATGGCGTAGCCATTGTTGCGGACAAAGAAAAGCGTATTGGACCCCATCGTAGCGGCAAAGTTCACGCCGGCGTGAAAATCTCCCTCGCTAGCGGCACCTTCGCCAAAGTAAGTTGCAGCAATACGCTTCTTGGTATTATCCTTTTCATGTAAGTTTTCAAGGCGAAACGCGTAGCCAGCACCGGCCGCATGTGGAATTTGCGTCGCCAGTGCAGAGCCAACCACATGAACATGTAGTTCTTGTGAGCCATAGTGGATGGGCATTTGACGGCCTTTAAGCTCATTCTCGATGTTGCCCATGCACTGGGCCACCATCTCAGAGATTGTGTAGCCACGGTAGCTGAGAGCCGCCCCCTCCCTATACTGCATGAATATATCGTCACCGTCACATAGGGCCGCGGCAGTCCCCACAATCGATGCCTCCTCCCCATGACTTGTCATGTAAAATGAAATACGACCCTGTCGCTGCGCCTCCATCAGAATAGTGTCAATGGTATGCTGACGCAACATTGTCTCCAGCATTTTGACCAACGTCTCCTTCGGCACCTCTGGCTCCGCACTTGGGTTGTCCGTGCTTCCGTCGCGGTTCAACACTTGAAACATTGGCACCGACGGGTACTTGTTCTGGTGAAACGTGAGCTTCTGCGTTGTGGGGGAGCCTCCGAAGTCTAAATTCCACACCGTCTGCGCCTTCGATAAGGCCGCTTCCAGCACGGGGCAGAGACGCCGGGGGGTCCCAGAGAACCCGCCGGCGCACATGAAAGCCTGTGGTGTCGCGCGCATAACAATCCTTTGATTTTTCACGAGATGCTCTCTCACGCAGAAGTGGGCAGGTGCACCGCAGAAAGACGGCAAGACAGAAGAAGACGAAGGAAAAAAAAAAAAGGAAGAAGGGCGGAGAGACAATACATCCACAGAGGCACACACACAAAAAAAAAGGCGTGCCAAATTAGGTCACAGGCTAAAAGGGAATGCAACTCCGCTCCGCCTCTCTCTCTCTCTCACACACACACACACTCATTCCTCCCGTCCTTGTCTCTTTTGCCGCTGCTGCTGATACCACTGCAGATCACATCAAATGAGAGAAAAACAAAACTGCATCCGTAAGTTCTATACATCAAATCACCAAAAGAGAGACAAAAAAAAAAAAGAAGCTTGAGATGCCAACGCTAACAGTTTCTCATTTACCCTCCTTGCTTCTTCGTCTTCGCCTCGGGATTGAGGGGGCACTTCGTTTTTTTTTTCTGCTACTCCCTCCTCTGTGTATTGTTCTTTGTTTTTTCCCCCTTCTTTCCATTTTGTGGGGTGGGAGGCCCCTGCGCCTGCGCGCCGGTGCTACGCCTCCGTTAGGTCGTCGTCGTAGTAGAGGTGCAGCGCAGGGACGTAGAAGTCCGCGTTCAGCCCTAGCGACTCGAACTCCTCGGACTCCTCGAGGATGCCGTTTTCGTCGAGTGTCTTGTTCATGTCGAGGTCTCGCCCCACCGGGTCGTGGCGGCGCCAGGTGTAGCTGAGGGCGTGCGCATTGTACGCGAGGTAGCGGGTCGTGACAATCTCAAAGAGCGTCTCCTCGGCGCACACCTCCAGCGTGTGTTCGGCGCCGTTGAGCGTGTTGATGACGCGTATCTTGCGTGTCTTGCGGGTGAGGTTGCCAATGACGTACTGCTCGTCCTTCCACCACGGCACCTCGTAGCTAAGGTCGATGTTGCTGTCCGGCAGCACCGTCGGTATGTGGGCGAAACGACCAAACGGCTGCGCGTACGTGCGAAACCCCGTCTCGGGGTCGATGCACGTCTTCAGATCCATCGTCGTCTTATCAAACCAGTGAGAGATGTCGGTGCCGGCGGCGCGAATGAGTGGCTGCACCAGGCTGGCGAAGCGGGTGCCTTGGTACCGCTGAATGAGCGGAGTGATGTCTAGAACGTTGCCGTTGCAGGAAATAAAGGCGTCATCTTCGAAGCAGTGCGCGCGAACCTCCTTTGGGGTGTAGTGGCGCGGCATTTTTTTTCTTTTTTTTTTACAAGAGCACACGCCGCCTCGCCTCTCCGCTTATTTGTTTCTCTACACTTTTTGTCGCTTCTTTGCTTTCCGGCTCAATGCAGGTCTCGGCGAGTACGCGTGTCTCCTGGCGGCCGCGGCTGCCTTCGCACCCAAAGCGGCGGCGGCAGCAGCACCACCACCACGCCCGCGACCGGTTGGCTCGCACTCCCCTTCCGCGCCCCTCCGGTCAGAGAGCTGCAAGAGGGAGTATGCGCACGCACCCACACCCACGGCGAGAGAAGGAGCGAGAGCGAGAGCGAGATCCCCTCCCCCTCCCCTTCCGCTACGAACACTCCTTGCTTCCAAAGACAATGTGCGTGCGTGCGTGCGTGCGTGAAAAGCACCCATAAGAAGAAGAAATGCAAAGAAAAAAACAGACAAACACGCATGCGCATGAAGAAGAACCTTGAAGTGGTGACATAAAAAGAGAGAGAGAGAGAGGAGGGGATGCGCACGGGCACAAAAAAAAGAAATGCGCCAGAGCTACTCACTTCCTCCCTGGCCATGTTCCTCTTTTTTTCTTTACCGGTAACTTTCCAAGGAGAGAAACAAGCAAAAAATAAAAAAAGAGCAGAAAGGCCGCAAGAGAAGTTAACTCAAAATTATTGCCTCAGTTTATCCGCAAAGTTCCGTGAGTTCATCTCCACGGAGGTGACGCCTCGCGTGCTCCCTCCGCTCTCGCGCGCAGCTCTCGTCGCACTGGCCCTCAGGACGACAAGAGGATGGAGGCGGCCCAGCCACCGTCGTTCGCAACTGTCGTGGTTGCCTTCACTGCTCCACCGGGACCGCCTGAGCGCAGACTGGCGTCGTAGGCGTAGAACACCCGCCCCCCGGCAGCATCCAAGCAACGGCGCAGGCGCAACTGCAAACTGTCATTGGCGTCCACTTCCATCACGTCTCGTGGCGCGGTGGCGAAGAAACAGGGAAACCAACTAAACATCCCAGGGGTTCGTCCCTCAGGTTTGGTCGAAAGCGTCGTTGAAGCGGCAACGTCCGCCACATTGTCTCCACCACAATTCGACTTGGTAGAAAACAATACAGCTGTAAAATATCCAATGAAGCCGCTGCAGCGACCAGGCGTACTCATGTGAAAGGTAAGGAAAGCCTCCCGCTCCTGTTGGAAGTCTTTTCCCCCCGTAAAGTGATGAAAGGTCCAGCACGGCTGCGGCGGCGACAAGGCGACACCACGACACACATTCGTGACAAAAGTGGAGTGAAATATCGCCGCACAACGGTCGTGGCACCACGGCGGCAGCACGGTGAGACCCGAGACAGCCGTCCCCGCGAGGGCCTCCTCCAGCCAGCCTGAATACAGTGGGGCAATCCATGCGGTGTACTCTTGGGGTATGGAAGTCATGTGTGGATTGAGCGGAACCGCCACCGAGGCTTGATAGCGGCGAAAATCCTCATAAAACCCTTCCAGACACTCCGGGCTAAGCTCATTGTCACCAAAGCTTCCAAGGAGTTCGGAGACAACAAGGTCGCACCAACCCCACCGCGTCGGCAGCGACTCGGCCATCGTTGCTGCCACCGCTCGTCCATCGGCGCAGAGAGTTTCCACCACATGACCGTAGGCGTCTATACCGTAGCACCATTGGGGATCTGCACGCAATCGAAGGCGAATAAACTCCACCGCCTCAGGGTTTTTCTCAATCGCAAACAAGTGAACGCAAACACCAACGGAGGAGGCCGCAGCTAAGCACTCCCCAATCAAAGGCCCCCTCCCAGCACCTAAAAGGACAACGTATACTTTCTCCATTTCTTCGCCTGCGGTGCCGTTGAGATGCTGACTGCACATTCTCCCATGGCTACGCTCCTCATAGTGCTCTAACCAGTCACGGAAGTAGTGAAGCATTGCGGCATGGTACTGCTTGTACTTGGCGGTGTCCAGTTCAAACACTTCATAGACCCCGCTAGGCAACATGTGGCCTAGCGGCTGCAGTGGCAGCTGCAAGGTGTCCTCAAAGTTAGCAAAGATATCCCTTCCGTTATCCAAGACATGCCTCTCATACAACTGGTCCAGGAGCGTGTAGGCCTGCATAAAGTCGTTTACAGAAAACATGGGTATCACCCGTCTTCGAAGCAGCTCCACGACAAATGCCATTAGAGAGAGAAAAGGAGGTTGTGCTGTGGCCCAGTAAGAATGAATAAGAGGCAAAATGTCGCTCGGCAAATTTGAATCAGGCTCAGCCTTGAAGGTGCCAGACAACAGGGTACGCACAACGCGGTCAAGGCGTGGGACGTCAAACGCCACAACGGGCTCCCCAAGCCACTCGGAGGGGAGTGCCCCGAATGTCTCAGAGAAGTACAAGTACGGCATCACTCGTTGCAGCGCTTCGCGCGACACGGATCCCACGGCTTCGGTTAACGAAGGCGCGGCGGCGGAGCCCCATACAAGGGCGGTGCGAAGTCGGCAAAACGCCACACGATGAGCCTGGGACGCGGCATCGCAGTAAACCCAAATGTTTGTCGCCCGAGCCTGTCGCAAGTGCTCTGCGAGAACGGCAACAGCCTCGCCAAACGCAACCGTCGTCTCGCCCCCGTCCTCCCCGGAGTCAGGAAGCGGCACCAGCACGGCGCGAAGGCTCAAGAAGGCCGCGAGGCGAAGAAAACTGGAGATACTATTTTTTGCATTTGCCGGAACCCCCCACGACGTCGCCGTGACGCAGCCGCAAGCGGAAGGGCCCCAAGAACTCGATCGATTGAGTAAACTCCAAGTCTGCTCCGCTCCACCCTTCGAGTCGTGCACACTGCACGCCAACGCGGCCAGCGGGGAGCACCCCCCTGTCGTGCGCCAGTCACCCCCAGCGGCGGCGCCATCCAAGGGAAAGGCGCACAGTGAGGCGCCACACGCTGTCTGCTGCTGCAGCGCAAGCAACATACTTCTCCCGTCGTTAAAGCCAAAGTGTTGGAGACTTGACTGCTTGAAAAAGCCTTTCTCTAAGGGAATTGGCCACGTCGCCGGAGATTCCGTTAAGCCACCTTGTTGACTTCCATCCGCCGCGGAAGCCGCGAAGGCGGCAACGTTTTGCATCAAGTACAATGTATGTCACTAGCTGGTCAGGAAAAGAGTGCCACAAGCACAAACCCCAAGACACAACAACAACAATAAAAAAAGCCGCAACCTGCATAACACGAGTAGAAGGATGTACGGTATAAACCTGCTCACCAGGAGTTACACAGAAGCGCACACACGCCGAGGCATACACAGGCATGACGGCTTGCCCAGACAGACAGCACAGGACAGGGAGACTGAACGGAGTCGTGGACGTCGTTCGGACTTCCGCAGTCACCTGTGTTGGGTCACACCAAAAAGCATACCGTGTGCGGCTCAAAGCAAGACAAACACACAAAGTAACAAACAAGACACTACAAACACCGTATATATATATATTTAAAAAAGAATGGTAATTGATGGACATTACAACGATACAAAGGAAGAGGGACTACTTGCTGTGACAAAATACTCTAACCGATACTGCAGCAGCAGGGGAGGAAGACTCATACATGACATTTCCCATTCTACAGCATCTATTCCAGCATAGCCTTTCGCTCCCGCACCAACTCCAGCACATGGTCACGGGTAACAGGCCCGTGACTGCTCGTGCTGGTATTGACGCTCCGATTTCCGTGACCCACATGGCCGCCGTCCAAGGAACCGTTCTGTGACTGATTTCCTGTATTGTGTGGGGCAGAGCTGCGTGAGAGGATACTGGCCGCTGGCCTTTCCTTCCCAACCCCTTCCGCTGTGGAAACCCCTTGTGAACTGTTCCCGTATATTGCATCACGCTTGCTTCTGCTTCGCTCGTTGTGTCTCGCACGGTCGTAGCCGTTGGCCTTGCCGACGCAGGGCTCCGCCCTGTGCTCCCCTGTTCCGTGCAGCACCCGCGACGTTGTTTCCATAAGGTCGTCCTGCAACATCTCCATTGGGGCGGCGCCGCGTTCTCCAGTGGCGCCTCGCTTCAACTCCTCTAGTCGTTGCCACTGCATCTCTAACTTGAACAATTCCTCCCTTATTCGTTGAGACTCCCGAGATAATGGAGGCATCTCCCCCCCCTGCTGTGCCTCGGACTTCGTGTCGTAGCGCTTGCCCTCTACTGTAGCTGTATCATAAAGGAAGTCACGCGGCGACGAGGACGGCCGTACTGCTGCCGGTGACAACAAGGATGACTGCGGCGGCGGTGGCGGCGCCTTGGCTAATGCTGCCTCCTTCAACACAGAGGCATTCTTTATAAACTTCGATGGATCCCGCTGAAAATCTTCATAACTGCTGCGTAAGCGGTTGTAAAGGTCCTCAATGCCCTTCAGATATTCGGCCACACGCTCATCCTGCTTCGCTGCCTCTTGGTAATTCGCATGCTGAACACCACTATGCATGCTGGCATTTGACAAGTGGCCGGTGTTATTCCTTTTGCTGCCCACGTCTGCGTGGGGCGTCCAGGGGCGGCTGGGGCCACGAGAGGTATTCGACATTCTTGCACTTCGCGAGGAAGGTAGCCCTTTCATGGCGTCCTCTAAACGAGGTGGAACCCCCTTGAGCGCACCCGCTTCCGTGTAGTAATTTCTACTTCGGTCACGTGGTATTGGTCTACTAGCTGGTCGAGAGCTTGCCGTAACGGCCCCTAAGGCGTCAGAAGGTAAACCCAACCTCCGCGCAGACGCTGCACCAGCACGAGGTGCATTCCGCCCTCGTGCTGACGAGAAATTTGCACGCTCCTGCCGTTCGTCTTTTGTTGTCTTCCGCGGAGGGTCCCTAGTCGAGCAGCGGGACACTCCTGGTTGCAGTTGACGCCTTGCTGCCCCGCGAGCCACCGAGCGCATATGCCTTTCTTCCTGCTCGGATATAGAAGGTCGACGTGCGGAGCCCTTTTGGCGCGCTCCACGCCCGCCCTTCAGTCGAGGGCTCGGCTCCGTCTGACTACCGTCGTCGGCGTCATCCTCGCCGGCCTCGTCGAGGGTTGAGGTGTCCCCCCCGCGGCATTGTCCCCGCTGTTGCTGCTGCCTATGGTGTCCCCCCTGGGGATACGGAAACCACGGCGGGGGCGGTGGTATTTGGCCCCAGTCCACGTTTGCCGGCATCGGTGGAAAAGGCGGCAACAGGTACGGTGGGAACGGGAAGGTTGATGGCAGTGGAATGTCTTCTGGCGTCGGCCACTTTGCAGCTGCACCGCCACCGATGCCGCTGCGGGAAGCACCTGAGGCATTTTGCGGAATGGGCGGCGGTGGAATCCACGGGGCATCCTGCGGCAGACTCCAGTATGTGGCTGGAGGGGGCGGCGGCCAGTCAAGAAACTTCGAGCCGGCTCCGCCGCTGCCGCCGCCGCCCAAAAAGAAGGGCATGGGAGGCGGCGGCGGCGGCGGCTGCTGCTGCTGCGGGATGTGGCCGACCCCATTCCTGCTGCTGTGCGCACTCTCGTAGGAGATGCCGGGCTGATGTGGGCTCACGCTGCTGAAGCGATTGAACATCGTCGACGTCGTCGTCTCCGGGTCCCCGACCCAGCGACTGTGATGCCTGAGTTCATTTAGTCGCGGTGATATCTGCTCCTCGAGGCAGCAGCTGTCTAAAAATGTGTGGGGCTCACGGCCTTCACGCCGCTCCCGCATCATACCTGTCGTCACACACACACACACGCACAGGCGCAGAAACAGGGCGACAGCAACAACAATAGCAACGGGAAGAGAAGCCGTGAAGGCACTCTTCAAGGGCGGTGCAGCAAATATCATCCTCGCGAGGGAATGGGGGAGGGGGAGGGGGGAGCGGGGAGAAGCTCCAATGGGTTATTATTGACTTCTACTAGTTCTTGCCCGCAGCAGCGGGCAAAAGCACGCAGAGGCCGCCCATCCAAGAACAACTGCCCGCTGTCCCTTCGTCTCCTTTCCATTTTTCTTTCGTTTCTTTACTCCGTCTCTCTCGCTCTAGAAACTTACACAGTGATATCCCTCTCCCAAGGAAGCAGCACACAAACAGGGAGACAAAAAAAGGGGCAGTTGCTGTACAAGAGAATATTGGTGAACACAAAAAAGAAAAACAAACGTCATGTACAATGGAAAAAAAAAAGTCTAACTAACAAAGTGCGACTGCCACCCTGTTACAGTACTCGCATAGCGAAGAAGATCGTGCCGCATCCGCTCCTTGCTCTCCCGCTTCATGTAGTCGCACATGCGACGGCTCTCACGCAGCGAGTGTGAATGATACTCCGCCAGCTGTCGGGTGCGTTCCATCATGAGATCCTTCGCGGTACGAAGGTCATTGCACGCCGCAGCCATAATGGCCCTGTAGGCGCTGCGGTACTTCTCGTCCTCGTCCTTAATCTGCCGCATGCGCTCCAGTTTTTCCCTCCGATCGTCTTCCAAGGCCTGCCGCAGCTCCTCGCGTAGGTGCCGTGTTGTGTCGTTGTGGCGCTGCACCATCTTCCGCCGTATTTCCTTCTGCAAGTCATCAATAAGACGAATGGAGCGCAGCATTTCGATCTTTTCATTCCGCAGCGTGTAATCTATCATGCGCTTCGGCTCATGGCGGAGCAAATCCTCCACGGAGACGGCATCAGGAACGAGGCTACGCGGCAGCACCAACTTCGGTCTCGCCCGCCTCTTGACTTGCTTGATCCCCGTTGCCGCAAGCTCGCCGACGCCAACGTGGCCGCTCTCGACCTGAGACTGTGCTGCGGCCCGCCGACGCCGCTCGCGTTGGAGGGCCTCATTTGTCAGTCGCTCCTCCATGAGGCTCAACCGCCCCCGCAGATCCGCGACGTCTGCGGAATTCATCGCGCGATTGCAACGCGTGGGCGGGATCACCTCGGCGCTCCACGCATTCACCAACTGCTTGGTGGGTATTTCCTCCTCGTCCTCCCCATTGCCGTAGCTGCCCGCGCTTCCGCCGTACTCGTGTTCCTCCTTCGCGGCGTGCCCCATGACCAAGGCGTCCCCAACGTCATCCTCGTCATCGCCGACCTCGTCCTCTGCTTCGCCTGCAGGGATGACGGCAACGTTCCCCGCGCCCACCCTCTCGTCCATTTCCCGGACGTGACGAGAATGACTGTGGCGTGTGTGATGCGGGGGCCCGAAGGACGCCGGGAGTTGACCCACGCGTCCCCCGCCAGGGTGCAAGACTGCGCCCTTCACATGCTCCTGAGGGAATGGGGCTGGTGACACGCCACCAAGGTGCAACATTTGCATCCCTTCGTCGATGGTCCTTACTGGCGCATACCAGGTCCCATCCTCCACGGATTTATTCGGCAACTCGGCCAAGACGGGCCGTGCTGGTGCTGCGGGAAATGCGTCTCGCGTCGACGGTGACCTTTTAGCGCCAACTGGAGCGGCTGCCGCATCCTCTGCGTCTTTCTTCTTGCGCATATTGTGTGCAATACCCAAGAAGAGCGTGATGAGTCGACTAATGTGCTCTTCATTGAATTGGATGATCTGCTCCGCGTCAATGCCTGCAACATCAATGCCACGTTTGTCGCGCAGCTCATTCAGTACGCGTGTGACGTTCCGCTGTTTCTGCTGTAGCGTGTAGGGGGAGCTTTCAATGCCTTCGATGGTGCAGCTGTAGAGCCGCTGGTAGAGCAGGACAAAAAGGCTCGAGGAGCACTGCTGGAGCGACGTGATGACCGTCTCCTGCGTTATGGAGCACATGGCGAGGAGCTTATTCACATCCTCGCAGGTGACTTTTCGCGGCTCCATTTGTGTGGCGTGGGGGACCCCCCACCCGCCTCCTCCGGACGCCTCTTTTTTGTTGCTGCTGCCGCCGCCGCCGCGGAGGCGCTGCTGCTCCGACCGCCCCCACACGGTGAGGTTTGGGCGCACGCGCGGGCGCAGTTTTGGGCGGCCCGCAGCCTTCGAAGAAACAACGGCCCGAACGGAGCTCCGGCGAGAAGAGAAAATAATACGAACAAAAAAAAAAGTATCGCAAATTCCTGCGGGAGAAACAAAAATCAAACACACACCGCCTTGACTTCGGTCCCTTTTGTGCTTCCGCCTCGCACCCCCCGCCGCCCGCTCACGCACGACCCCACCCTTTTTGTGCTGAAGAGCACTGCGACGATGCAGGTGGAGAAAACGGCGAGGGAGGACAGAGCCCTTTTTTGTTGTTTGTTTTTTAGTTTGCTTTCAAAAAAGCTGCAATGCTGCCGCCAAGAGAGTGCAAGAAACAAAACAAAAAAGTGAGGTGGAGGAGGCACGCAAGTACTCATCCGCGCACAGCCGCCGGCAGAGACGCAGGTGCGGAAGGACAGAGAGGGCGAGCGACGGATGCAATAAAAGGCGAAAAACAATGGGTGAATGTACACAGCAGTTATTCTTCATTTTACGTGTGTGTGCTCTCGCAGATAAACAAAAAAAAGTCGGAGAGAAAAAGACAAAAGAAAAAAAACACACACACACACACAAAGCAACAACAACGAGAGAACGGTGGTTTCATGTCTGTCTCTGCGTGTGTGTGTGTGTAGATAATTTCCACTCCACCACGACAGGCCCTTCTGTGATCACGCACTTCCTCCCCCACACCTTTTTTTTGTTCTTTATTATTTTTTCCTCCTTCCCGACTGCCGCTGCTTGCCCCCCGCTCAGTTTGCCCGTATCCAAAGACGGCATCCACCACACGAGAGGCCTCGAAAGCTGCACACCGGTGGATGGGGCCGCAGGCACGCAGAGGGAGACATACATATATATATATATATATATATATATGTGGAAGCGGGGGCCCGCGACCGCGCAGGTGCCCCTTGCACCCCTCGCAGCTCCACCCACGACGCACACCTACAACAAGACACATACGCACACACACACGCACACACGCTATTTCACACTTTTCTCTTTCACCACTTAATGTCCAAACACCACCAGCATCGCGGAGGAAACGCCCTTTTCATACATATAAGCAAACTCCATTCTGCTTTAGTGTTGGTGCTTTTTTTTCGTTCTTTTTTTTTCATTTTTGACAGTCCCAGAGATTCTTCACGTCCACGCAAGAGACCCCATTGCTTCCAGACCAGCTGAAGGCGCAGGGGAAACCAAATGACGGGGATGACAAGGACTTTGTTTCCCGATATAGAAAGCAACCCCAACACACAAACTAAAGAAAAAAGCAAGGAAGTAGTGAGCAAGAAAATACCAAGAAAAAAATGGGGCCTGGAAGTTGGGGGAGGAACAAGGAGAGAGAGAGAGAGGACAAA